AAAAAAAATAAAAAAATCTAACTCTCATTTTCTTCTATTCCAGAAAAAAATTGAAAACATGAATGTCTCACATTGAAGAGATGTGTTTTCAATTATCTGTTTTCGTCTTCATCATATTAATCTTTTTTTTTCTCGTTGATTCTCACTTGAATCAATTAATTTTTTAATTAAATTTCATTTGATTTGAGTTGTTTCTCAATTGTTATTGTTCGATTTTTAACTGTCATTATCAGTTTTTTTTTTAATACAAGTAACGGTCTTTTAGTTTTTTTTATGACACGATTCAAATTCTATTTTTCAGGTTTACAATTTTTAATTTCTTTTATCTTTTCGTCTTTGTCTATTTGTTTCCAATTTTGGAGTATATTTGGTATTGTGTAGGGGTAGGAATGTTTTAGAAAATCAGTATTAATATGAGACAGTTATAAAATTTTCCCAACGCCACCCAGAACGTGTTAGTGGGCTACCACAACTCTCTTTTGCAGCAGGCCGTGGCCCAATTAAATAATGAGACCCAAATCCCAATCTTTTTTATCCTCGATCTCTACAGCTCCTTCTGTTTTATTTTATTATTATGTCTTTTTGGTTCATGGATGCAATTTAAATCAAACCAAACTAATGTGATTTTTCGAAGATAAAAACTAATTTATTAGTATATAACTCATAAACATTGCAAATATTAATGACGTATTTTAAAGTAATTAATTTTTATTTTTGTTTTTATTTATACTCATTCATAGCAAAATTAAAAATTTCCAGTACTAGTATTAACTTATATTGTTTCATAATTATATATATATATAAATTATTATACATATATATATGTCAATAATTTGAATATGAATGAGTAAAAATTATAATAGGTCTTTTAAATTATTATACATATATGGCAAAATTAAAAATTTCAAGTACTAGTGTTAATTTTCAATATGATTTGAATATTTTATGTTGATTTTTTTTTCCATTTATAACAGGTCTTTTAAAATTATAAAGCACTTTCAATTTAAATTTTACAGATATTTTAAAATTTAATACATTTTTTATTTATTATCACATTTTATGTGTCGAATTGATCATTTTCTGTTGATCCTCGAGTTGACATTCAGAATGCATACTTAATATTTTATCTATATTTGTCTTTATGAATAAAATTGCACTTAAAATCATATCTATATTTGTCTTTATGAATACAATTTGAATTTATCTATCGATTTAGTTATAAACTAATAAAAATACTATTTATCAATTCAATAAATGTATCAATCAAGCTATCATGATATGGGTTTGAAACAATTATTGTAATATACATTTTTAAATTAGCACTCGTGTTGTACATGATGAGTATTAATATACTAATATATATTTATACAATTGTCTTTTACTGAAACAGGTGACATAAAATTTGAGACACCATTGAAGCCCTGTTGCATGGGCATCAACAATACTTACTCATGCGGCAGTGTGGACCAGAAAGGTACCAGTTTGTCGCGACCCGAAATCGTCATTTTTCTGGGACTCATCTCATCCGACCCAGGCCGGATGGGGTGCCGTCTATGCATCGTTAAAGTCGGGCCTCGAGCGATTCATGTAAATTGTATTCACTAATTAAACCTTTTAATCTTGTTTCATATAGTTGTGTTGTTTTTGTTATTTATGTCGTTGTTTAAATGTTTACCCTTGGGTTCAGTAGTGTATTCTTTTTCTATGAACAAATGTTAAATGACTGCGATACCAAATTCTCAAGTGTCGAATTGTAATTTGATGTTTTAAACTTTTTGTTATTTTTTTTTTTAATGTTTATGTAACTTTAGCTATTAAGTTTTATGGTGTTAACGAATTCACCTGGATGGTTGGATCCTTTATTCCGGCCACTAGACTTCTATTCAATCTTATCATTCTAATTAATCATTAAGGCTCCATTTGGTTGGACTGATACAATTAAACTAAATTAATATGAGGTGGGTAGATTGTACTGTACTAATAAAATTAATACCATATTTGTAAGTACTTTTGATATACTGGATAACTTATTAATACAAATGTGTTTAGACTATTTTGCTCTTATCTCATTCCTTTTCTCTTTCACCTTTGTATTATTTTTATCCACCCGTCCTTGAACAGTGCAAGTGTGCAACACTCATTTCTCCTCCTCCGATCAGATAAGAGTAGCAGTTGAGCAAGTAACATAACATAGACATATACATAATAATTTGTGGAAGACGAATAGGATCCGGAATCCAATGAAGACGATTTTGTAGACCACCATAGACAGCCTAAGCTCTTGACCTTCTAGTTCTGCTACCTCATCCTCCTCTTCACCACAACTGCAATTCCCAGCGTAGTCCGTCGCTTTTTCATCTCGCTCGCTGGCTGCGCTTTCGCGAGTGTCGCCAAGACGATCGCAGCACTCGCCAGAGAGTCCTTTCTCGCGTGTCCACAAGTTTTCCCAATAGCGC